ATAAAATAAAAAATTTTTAAATTAGGACAAATACCAGCTACTTGAAGATGCTGAAGTGTAAGACAGGAAAACTGTTAGAGGAAGGTTCCAAGCTCGTGATTCTGCAAAGGTCAGACGGGAGTTCCATCACTACAAGACTTTTACACCTTATCAGGCCTCTGTTGGCCCGCTGACCGTGCTCTATGACGGGCTTGCTCACTATTTGAAAGTAATTGTTTCTTTTAAGTTTTATTTAAAAAAATTAATTTTTAATAAATGACTAGTTTACTTCAATGATACCTGAAAGGACACTTGTCAATACATAGCAACAATGTTTATTGGATGCGAAGTAATAAATGGGACAATGTGGAAATCTGTTCAACTTCTGGGGCATGTCACTTTCAAAACGTGCTGTCGCATTGTTAACATCTGGCCGTTTAAATGTCAGCTTGATATCTAAGAAATATCACAGGGTTCACCACTTCTGCTTTGTGGTGTTATCGGAGGGCTGCAGGCTCCACGAGAGCTGTAACTTCTCTCTAGATATTCCTACAAAGTACCTACAGCCTCGGTCTCTGAGCACTCATCTTCGAATGACTCAGTAGCATCACTTCCTGTGGCCTCTCTACTTTTTCCCTTGCAGTTTCTCATTCATGTACTAGCGCTCCTTGGCATGTGAGTTCCCAGTCTCAATTGACACATAGCTTATGAAAGCAAAGGGACTTTATTTCCACTCAGGAACTAACTGTGTGTTATCCCCTTCCATTTGCTTGTGAAAATCGAGAAATACGTGTTGTGTAATCATTCAGTTTAATTAGACATACTTCACTTTCAGTGTTGTGCTGCCTGATATTAAAAATAAATTCTAAATAAGTTTCCATTGACTCACTATATTACAATATAAATGCCTTTCTCCCTGCCCCTTCAAGATTATTTAATATAGGTATATAATATTTTAGTTATTCTAGCCTAAAATGCATCTCCTAATATGCAAGATATTTTATCTTACACAATTCTTGCTATTCTTCAGTTTCCTCACATTTCAAAATTTACCTCCAGAAATTTTTATTAATCTACTTCTGTGATGTCTAAAACTTAGGTCTTTATCATTTCAAGGATGATTTTTGTTGCTAAATTCTCAAACAGTGATAATACAGGTCCCGATTAAATCTCATGAAAGTACATAGATGACGTAAGCCTCCCAACCACTACTGTTTGCAAATACTAATCGTAAAATCCCTGAGCCCCAAGTAAGCCCATTTTATTCATTTTCATGTGAAGTTACAAGAAAATGCAAAGTTAGACCCATAATTGCAAAGTTCTTATTCTTTCTTTAGTATCTTTCATATCCACCATACTTGCCCCTTTGCTCGTGCAGGCCTTTCTGCTTGGAGTAATTTCTCCCTCTACATTTATCAGAATCCTAGTCATCCTTCAAAGCTGGTGCAAATTGTACCTCCTATTTGGAGCTCTATCTTATTACTTTGTATACACTTATTTTTTTTCCCTCCTTAACATTCCTAGTCCTAAAGTTAGTTAATTTAAGGAAGTTGGCATGTAATTGTTCTCCTCTAATTGTTTCCTGTAAGTCTGTAGGTTAGACTTATCCTCCTAGTGAAGCTAAACTTTTTGAAGGTAAGGACCACCCATGCCTTGTATCATTTTTTTTCAAGCTATTTTTTTCACATAACCTCTAAAATGATTTGGAAAAATTATATACCTCCTTGTGTATCTTAAAGCTGATGTGTGAAATATTATCATAAGTATAAGTAACTACAAAGGATGTAAGTCAAAATACTGACATTGAAGATAAAAGAAAACAAAGCAAAAACTATCACATGAGACTTTCAAGTGTATGTAAAGGAATCTAAATACTATTGTGATCGATACTGTAGTCATTCATTTGAAAAAAAATACATGAAGTCTTCTTGAACTGTTGGAAATTTTACATCATTCTCCTTTCCACTTGAAGTCATATTTCTGTTTCACATCCTTCCCAGAATTCTATCCTAATAGAAAGTATTTTTATGCTTGAAAATCTGCTCTATATCAAATATATGAGATCTGTCCAGAAGCTATCCAGCCATATAATATGTAAAGTAGAGACATTTACTGAAGAAGATACAAGATATAAGAAAAATTGTACATAAGACAATGACACTCTCAGTCCCCTTCAAAGTAGGCACCTTAGGACCTCTCACAGTTCTTCCAATGGCCATAAGCTACCCCATTGTATTTTCTTGAATCTCATCGACAGTCTGAAATCTTTTCCCTTTCAAAGGTGATTTTAGTTTGGGGAAAAGCCCGAAGTCACAGGACGCCAAATCTGGGCTGTAGGGGAGGCTGAGTCACCTGGGTGATTTGATGTTTCACCACAAAACTCTGCACGAGACATGATGCACGAGCAGGCACATTGTTGTGATGAAGCTGCCAATCACCAGTTACGTGTGGCTGTGGCTTTCTGAATCGTCCAAATAGTTTCCACAGAGGAATGCTCAAACTTAATGCAAAATTGGATGCAGATTCATTGCTCTACCTGCTCAGTCATTGTGAATGTGACCGCCACACAGTGCACATGCTCACTCAACTGCATCTACTGCCCCCACTGACTAGTACAGGAAAGTTGTCATTGTTCACACATGCGTATTCCAGTCCACTCTCCTTGGCTGCCAGGTTGCACTGAAGTCATGCAAACCATTCTCATTATATTAACAGTGGCTGGACTTTTTCTGGACAGAACTCATATATATAAATTGAAATTATTTTTAGTTTTCAGACTAGAGGCTTTAAGTGGTAAAATACTCCTTCTAGATTGACTTATCATTTCAATTATTTTTAGTACACAGTCAAAGTCAAAACCACATAAATGTATTATAAGTACTTATTAAACATAAAGGATACAATTTATTGAAAATTCATATTTTCATGAGATGCATGGAGCGGTCCATTTACCTACATATGAATATTACCTATTGCTAGAAATAAGTAGGGTTCAGCATGAATTCTGTTTCTGTTTTACATTTTTATAGATGTAAATGATGAGAAGACTTGTTCACATCAAATTATAGGTGGGGATAGAAGATATTTTAGTATAGCAATGTCTATTCTATGAATTCCTTCCAAGTGATATGCCAAAAATTATGTAGTGATTTATTATACAAATGTTTTTCATCTCTTGTCACCTGTTAACTTGATTACATCTTTCTTCAATGTCATTGAAAGCAAAGGATTGGGAACACCCTACTTAGGGAAAGATTAAACAGTTAAATAGTCATTAGGAGTAATTTACTTCCAAAGTTTCTAAGAAAAATACCAAGAAACCTTTCCTATAATTTATCAAATGACAAGTAGACCTGTCATGCTTTAACACAATGTACTCAGAATGTATGGGAAGTAGAAAAACATTCATTGTAACATACCTGTCAATATAATAATTTTTGAGAAAATGATTTTATTGTGTCACATGCTTCAAATACATTTTCATCAACTCTTCAGAACTGCAGATTTGGTTCATTCAGTTTTGGGAAATTATTTATCCGATTCACCTAGTTGGCAAAACTGGACCCCACGGTCAAAACAAACAGTCCAAGCAGATAGATTCAAACTTTCCTTCAGAAAATATCTTACTTTACGTATTCAAAGAAATGGGTAAACAAACGTCACTCTGGTTGCATGCGCACTCCTGAACTCCTTCCCTAAGGGGGAGAGCTACTGTGGGAGCCTCAGCAGAAGGTGGGCGCATTAGCAGAGCAGGGGCCCTGCCTCCCCGGCTGCTGGCTTTCTTCTCACGGGGCTCTTTCCCAGGGACTACGCGCTCTCTGACAACAGGCGGGGCACTGAAAAGCACAGCCGCGTTAAATGAAGTTTGTCAACTGTCCTGCTTCTCCACGCTGTAATGTATCTGCTTACCAAACGTCCCGGCGTGGACCCAACTTTCCCGTGACTTATGCCGTTCTCTGCCATGAAAAGAAATGTGTGTAAGGCAGGGCACACTTGGAAGCTCTGCTTTGCATTGTTCATGCCTCGATTCAAGGAGGTGACCCCATAGCAGTCTTTTTCACCATTGTTCGGTGCCTTAGAGGTTCTTCTACATGCACCTGAATGGCAGATAAGCACACTAAGATTAGGTAAGCGATCTTTTTCTTTATAAAGTGGGAGGAAGCTGACCGTGAAGGGGAAGGCGGACACACTCGGCCTGATGCCGCTACGCAGCTGCCCCCTCGGGATGCCCGGTTGGGGAGAGAACAGATACAGAACTCGTGGGTCTGGACACTGTGTTTTAAGATTGTCCACGCCCACCCAGCCCTTGGGCGGCCTTTCAGTGCCCACCGCGATGTGCACACACGGGTTGGCCAACAGCTCTCTCGGACTCCTTGTTGCACCCAGTAATACGCTGAGACGGAGTGCGTGCTAATACTTTGTCAACCCATCAATTCACACACGGGAGGGAAAATGATATTCAGATTACAAAAACGTTAAGTTCAGTTAAAACTGTATAAGTGGAAATATCATTTTATTTTCTTTAGCATGCTCTTCTATGCTTAAGTTTAACAATTTTTTGTTTAAAAGTCCTTATCACATGATCCATACATTTCTGATCGGTTTTGCTTGGAACACAAGGTGTTCACACAGCAGTAATAAGTGCCTTTTAATTAGAATAATTATAGTTGTTATTCCTGTTTTGATAAAGTTTTATTTGAACGATTTTCACATTTTCAAACTCTATTTTTATACAATGTTATACCTTATATTTAAATATATGTGTCAAATAATAAAGCTATAAAATAAAATTGTTGACTGGAGAAGGGCTAGAATTAACGTTGAATTTTAAAATGTCTCAACGTGTTCATTGTGATAAAGAGCTGTATTAAAATGATTACTACTTATGGGTAGCCATTGATAGATATGCATATTTTGTAGAAAAAAAATGGGTCTTCAGAAGTGATTGACTTAAAAATTGCGAGCTAACGTCAATGACTATTTCTCGCCGAAGTAAAACCTCCGCTTTCTGTCCGTGGCAGAGAACACCCCCAAGGCCGAGTCGAAACAAGAGCGGTGGCGAGGCCCTCAGTCGCCCGGTGAGACGGTGTCGTCCCAGGGAGCGCTGCCGCTCAAGTGCGCGGCTTGGAAATCGGCCGAGGTAGGTCTTGGAGCAGTTTTCCATTTCTGCTCTAAAATAATGCCACAAATGCACCGCCCTAAACCAGCGCGAACCGATGATCTATCTCACACTCCCGCAGGTCTGAAGTCTGACGCGGCCCCACGGGGCTGAAATCACTGTGTCTGTCCGCAGGGCTGCGTCCCCTTCTGCAGGCCCTGAGCGAGAGCGTGTTGTCTTGCCCTTTTTCACCTTCTCGTGTTCTAGGAGAAACTGCTAGTCTTCTAACTTTGTTTTTGGTGTCCTGTGTCATAGAGTTTTAAATAAGAATAAGGTTAAATTATCAAAAATTTCTTTTATAATTTGTGCATTTAAAAATCTTATTTAATAATTTCTTCTTTTTCCTGACCTGGCTAGTGTAGTTCAGTGGATTGAGTGCCAGCCTGCGAACCAAGGGGTCACTGGTTCGATTCCCAGTCAGGGCACAGGCCTGGGTTGCAGGCGGGGTCAGGCCCCCAGTAGGGGGCACGTGAGAGGCAACCATACATTGATGTATCTCTCCCTCTCTTTCTCCCTCTCCGCCCCTCAAAAATAATAAAAAAAGAAACCCTTTAAAAAGTCTTTTTTGTCCTTATATAATAAAGATGTTTTGTTTTTTCTTCTAAATGTTGAAACCCTTATGCCTTCTAGAATTTTAATATATAGTGTGAGATAAGGTCTTATTTTATTTGAATCCTTGATGAGTAACAATATTCAATTTATTGAACAGCCCATCTTTCTCTACCCATTTTAAAAACATTTTAATATGAAATAATTAGAGACTTATAAGAAATTTTGGAAATAGTACAGAGTCCCCTGTACCCTTCACCCAGCTTCCCCTGGGGGTTGATGTCTTACATTTCCTCAGTTTTGTAGCTGAAACAGTATCAAAACCAGGGAATGCATTGGAGTGTTACTGCTAACTATAGTACAGACCTTAGCTAGTTTTCAAATTTTCAACTCAAGTGTTAAATTTTATAACCTGCATTTGTGCGTGTATGTGGATTCTATGTGACTAAGTGTAGATTCGTGTGACCAACACCAAAATTAAGATAGAGAACTGCTCTACCCCCACAGAAGTCCCCCTCACATGACCCACTCCATCTCACCCCGACAACCTTCTCCCCTGGCAACCCCTGATTTTTCTGTCTATAGTTTTGTTGTTTCTAGAAAGCTATGTAAATGGGCTCGGACAATATGTAATCTTTTGAGATAGATTTTTTTTTCCCACTGAGCATAACACCCTGGAGATCCATTCAGGTTGCTGCATGTATCAATAACGCATTCCTTTTTATTGTTGAGTGACGCCCCATCTTATAGATGTATCAGAGTTTATTCAACCATTCACCCGTTGAAAGATGTTCGGGTGTTTTCAGTTTGGGGCTATTTCTAAATAAAGCTGTTGTGAACATTTGTGTAGTTTTTTTATATGTTAAGTTTTCATATTTCTGGGATGAATGTCCAAGACTGTGATTGCTGGGTTCCGGTGAGTGCATACCAGGTTTTGTAAGAAGCTGTCGGACCGTTTCCAGAGTGGCTGTACCATGTTACATTCCCACCAGCAGTGCATACACGGGACAGTCAGTTTCCCTGCCTCCTCGCCAACCTCCGTTACTGCTACTGTTTTTATTCGAGCTCTTTGGACAGGCTTGTGGTGACATCTCACTGCGGTTTTGTGTCTCTCAGACGTCTAACGATGTTGAGCATTTTCTCGTGTGCTCATTTGTGCCGTCGTAACTTCTCTTGGGTAAAACATAGCTTCACGAATTTTGCCCATTTTCTGATGGGATTGTTTTTCCTCACTGAGTTTGGAGGGCTCCTCACGCGTCCTGCGCACAGGTCCTTTGCCAGGGATGGGGCCCGCACGTGTTGTCCCTTGGCGCGTGGCCTGTCTTTTCTCGTTGACAGTATCCGTCACAGAGCAGAAGTTTTCAATTTTGATGACGCCCAGTTTATCAGTATTTTATTTTATGGATCATGCTTTGGTGTCATATCGAAGGACTCTTTCCCTAACCCAAGTTCATGCAGATTTTCTCTTATGTTTGGTTGTAACTTTATTTTTATTGTTTATACTACTGCCAGTGTCCCCATTTCCCCCCAACTGTGCCCACATTGCCCCCCCATCACCGCGCTGACGTCAGAGTCCGTGGTTTACACGTGCACATTCTTCGGCTAACCCCTTCACCTTCATTCCTGGGGTTCCCCTCCCCCCTCCCCTCTGACGGCCTCCGTTTCCATTCTGTTCATCAGTTCATTTTGTTCATTAGCTTCCACATTTCAGTGAGATCATATGGGACCTGTCTTTTGATTTTCTCTTATGTGTTCTTCTAACATTTTTATAGTTTTATGTTTTACATCTGGGTCTGTGTTCTATTTTGAATTAACTTTTGTGTAAAGTGTCAAGTGTATGTCGAGGTTCTTATAAAAAAAATGGTTCTGTTCTTTTTTCCCCTACAGATGTCCAGTTGTTTCAACATCATTTGTTGACAAGACTTAAATTTCACTATAATATCCTTCAGTGCAGGTTTCCATTATCTCTCTTGCTTGTCACTCTGTGAGACTTTCCAGTGGGAAGTCTTTCATCTCAATGTAATTCTGTGAAAGTTATCTCTGGTTCAAATATTTCCTACTGTTTATCTTCATTTTTCTCTCTTGGGCTCTTCTTAGCCAGATATTAGTTATTTTCTTTCTATCTTTATATCGCATAACTTTTCCATTTCTTCATTGTTTTTTCTTTTCTATAGTTTCTCAGTCTGATCTTCCAGCTTACTAGTATAATCTGTTCTCATCTGTATCCACTCCACTGTTCATCCCCTCTGTGTTCTCTGTTTCAACATTCTATGTTTACACTTGACATTTCATATTTCTAGTGCATTCTTTTTCTTGTATTTGTTCCTGTTATATATTGCTCATATCTTTCCTTATTTATTTTAGTATGTATATTAAGGTTATTTTAAATCCTTGGTCCATCTTTTCTAATACCTGTGCTTCTGGTGAAACCTGTAATGTCGTTTTTAATTTTTCTTCTGAAATAGTTTTGATCCTCCAGTTACCCATAACCCCTAGGGGTTACGGCTGCTCTGTCCAGGATTGCTGAGGGCCACACCTTCGTCTGTGTCAGCTCTGTCGGCTTAAATTCAAGGTGGGGGAAATGGACGGGGGTGGGGGGGAGAGCCCTCCTCTCCCCCTGCCCCCAAGAAATATCAGAGTTAATCATTCCTCACTCTGAGGATCAACGCCTGAAGTTAGGTCTTCACCTTAGCGCCCCAGGAAGAAGTGGCTCTGGGGGGAGGCACTCCTTCAGCTGTAAACCACCTGCCTTGGGGAATCGGAAGAGGAAGTGTGAAGAGGCATCTCCTCGAGCCTACCGAGTGGTCCTCCCTGCTGTTCTCATCTCCTCGCCCACTCAGGGCGGACCAGAGGCTCTCCTGAGCACGCTGTACGCATCCCAGCAGGTGTGCAGGCTGGTCCAAGGCAAAGAATGGTGGGGGCAATTCTAGCGACGTCTTCCTTGTTCTGTCTCCCCACTGCATAGGCCACCTTCCGCCCCAGGCTGCAGCCGGCCCCGGCTCCCTTCCCGCACTCACACACAGACACGCGTGCTCAGAACCGCCTGTTGCTCCCAGCAGCCCCTCGCGGTTGCTTCTCAGTTTGATGTCCGGGGCGGCGATCCTGAGTCAGGGGCCACCAGCACCAGCACCAGCACCAGCACCAGCGCCTGCTCTGTTCCTCAGTGCTCTCTCGTCTTCTCAGACATGCACCTACTCACTCCTGTTTGCACTGTGAGGACACACATGAACTGATAATTCTGGCATCGACAGCTCTCCAAATACTACTTTTTCTCTATCTACTTGAAAAATTTTCTGCTTAATTTCTATTAGACATATATTGGACCACTTACTCTCTAATTTTCCATGCTTCCCCCTCCCCCCAATTTTCACGTGCTTTTAAAAAAAATCCTCACCTGAGGACATGCCTATTGATTTTGAAGAGGGGAAGCGAGGGAGAGAGAGAAGGGGAGAGAAACATCGATGTGAGAGAGAAACACTGATCAGTTGCCTCTCATACGAGCCCTGACTGGGGACTGAACCCATAACCCGGGCAAGTGTGCTGACCTGGAATCAAACCCGTGACCTTTTGATCTGCAGGATGACACTGCAGCCAACTGAGCCACATCAGCTAGTGCTCAACTGCTTTTAAAAACACCTTTTTTGTATCTTGGGGTTTTTTCTTGTAATTTTAGGTAATTAATCAGAACCATCTTCTAGTTCATCCCTTCCTCCTTTCATCTGTGCCGACTCTAGAAATTTTCTTGTTCATCGTGTTTTATTTCAACAGCTATATATTTTTTATTTGCAGGATTTTGCTGATCTTTGTAAGCTCCTCTTGAGTGGTTCAGGTTTTTAATCCTCCGTCTCTCTGAGTGTCCTCACAGCCCCTTCCAGCCTACCAGCTTTACCTTTGCTTCCTTCTGATGCCGAGGACCACAGACCGGCATCCAGGACTTAGACCGGCAGCCTGGGGCTCCTTCCTTGTGCTCATATCAGAGATGTCGCAGATCAGGTCCTCAGACCCCGGGGGCGCTGAGGGTCAGCTGCCGGAGAAGTTGAGTTTGTGTCCTCTCACCTACTTGGGCATATTAACACTTTAAGATGCCTGTGTCCCGGGCTGGGGTCGGTGCCCGGTTATCTCAGCCTCCTTTGTAAGTGGGAGATCCCCGCACCTGGGCGTAAGTTCAAGCAGTGAGCCCCTATTCAACACTCCCGTCTCAGTTGGACACTCTAAGTCTGTATTTACCCCCTCAGGAGCTGGGCTCCTGGTTCTCTCTGCCTTGTCCTGGACCCAGAGCCCTAAAGATCCGCAGACACTTCCACCGCCTTACCGTGACGCGTTTCTGCTCATGCTCTTATCCACGAAGACGTTCATCTCGTTTTTGAACATGACTGTGCCTTTCATTTTCACACTTGTATTTTCTCTTCCGTTGCTGTGTGTTTGAAAAAGAA